TCCCTTCCCCTCCCTTCCCTTTCCCTCCCCCTCCCTGTTCAGATCCAAATCTTTTTATTTAAATGCATAACTTTATTTTCTTTATTTTAAAGAACTGAATTTGGTTTCTGGTTCTGGTATTTCAACACCTGGTTCATTTTAGTTCATCAACTTTGTAAAAGGAAATTTCGGGACATTTTTCAGTAAAGTCAAGGCAGAAATTCTGTCAGAATTCATATCATCCTTGCCCTCTGACTTTCTCTCCCCTTCCCTCTTTTTTCAATTGTGTGCCGTGTGTATAAAATTTTCTTTTTTTCTTTTTGTATTCATATGAAGATCTTTGTACATTTTTTATTAATAGTAATGTTTTTTCTCTTTTTCACAGCTAATGTCTCAGCGGCCCCACTGTGCCCAATTTTTCTTTCAACTTGCGGATTTGGGCTGCTCTTTACAATATCCTCCTTTGCGAGATGGTGCTCGGGTATTATTAAAACTCATACCACCAGATGCATACACTGTGGAATGCCTTCAATCTCTCTTCCGGAACCATACTCAAAGTACTGGCCCTGCACTTGATGGAGATTGTGATCAGAGTACAGTAACAACATCTACAAACAATCCAAGCAATATGGATCTTTCTTCTGTGACTGTAGACAACATGTTCTTCGGTCCATCACCATCACGGGTGTTATACAATTTAATGGTATGAAAAACTAATTATTTTCTGAAATGAGAGAACAATTACACTGGAACCCCTCTGTTTGACTACTTCTCAAAATGGACCCATTCATCATAAAACTTTTTTATCAAACTACAACTGGTTGATAGATGGTCAGATCTGAAAGTGTGAACTTTTTCTATGTACTGAAATCCTGTCTATTAATTATTGGATTAAAATATTCCCCATTACACAGACAACTCTGAAAGAGAGTTCCGAGTGAATATAAAAATGTTTAAATTATTGATGAAACATTGGAAGATTTCTTTGGTTTGTTCTTAATGTGAAATTATCTTATTTTTTTGTCTTATCAGTTCGTGATCAAATTGCATACTCTCAATAATGGCACAAAAACGAACCTTTTTTCTTATTTACTCATCGTGTATGAGAGCAATGTATGTGATACTTATTCCATAAGTTAATTGAGAATAGGTTTTTTATTTGAGAGAACTTTGCTAATTTGAAAGTAGCAAAGAAAATATACACTTCCCAAGATTGGAATGCGTGTTCTCTCTCGCAGCCATTTTAACTCTTCATTAAGTCATTCGTTGTGTTGCTTGTTAAAGTGTTTTGTGTGTGTATGATGTATTCTAATGTTTCTTCTTCATTCACTCCACAGGTTATGTATGCATTGTTGATGCCAGCCTTGGATCCTATGTCTGACAAAGCTTTTGAATTTCAATATAATTTTATTAAAAGTGGAGAAGCACCAGTAATATTGGACATGCTCACAAAAAACAATTTTTTACCCAATGCTGATGCAGCCACAAAGAGGTATTTCACATTTTGTTAATTGGCAAAGAGTAATTTTGATCAGAAAAGCAAAAATAATTTTAACTTTTTCTTTTGTAGGTCTGCATATTTGTCTGTATTAAAAATGTGCAAGCTTTTACTGACTGTTGTTGGTCAGGTGATGGCTCGTGTAGTGGACGAGCCAACACCTTTGATGGTGCCACCAATGCATTCTTGTCCTGAAGGTGCTTCTGATGGGAATGGCAGTATGACATCAGGAGGTTCTCCTTTGGGTGGCCCACGGTCCTCAATATCCGTTTTGCGTCAGGCTTTTCATAGCATTCCCAACCAAAGCACAGAATACATGCTTAGAAACGTTGCTGCAAAACTTGCCCAGGCCCTAGCGGAGCAGGTGAGATCTGATGGTTTTTTTTCACAGAAACTTGATAACACTAAATCACATATTTACATTATTATTTAGGCAGATAATTATAACTTCTTGTTAAAATATACATTGTTCCTTGCTTATTTTAAGAGATAATCATCATATCATTTGTATTTTAAAATTTAAATTTAATCATTTCTTTTCCAATCCATTATTGAATTGATGAGTGCACAAAATTAGCTTTATGTTTTGTAAGAGTATAGCTGATTTCATTTGCTTCAGATGTTAAGAGCAGGAAGTGATGGGGAACGTTCTCGACCAATGTTTGTGCAAGCGTTGCAATGGGAACTACCAGATATGTCAACAATACGTGCAATAATTCGATTGGCATGGGCCTCAAGTTCAGGCAATCTTCAATTACTGAATGCATCTCCAGAAGAACTGCACCGAATGCATGACAAGAGTGCTACCAAGATGCCTGATGGTGAAGATGTTTTAGGTGAAATTATTATTTTTTTAAAGTACATTTTAAGGAAATGTGTAAGTTTGCTTTCTTCTTTTCTTTCTTTCAGTTTTCTTTGAAAGTGAATTGAAATCTAATTAGGAACTTTTATGGCTTTGTGTAATATGGGCAAATAGATTTCTCTCCTCCATTTTAATAGTGGAGATTGAAATCTTTCCATAATGGAAGACTTGTTAATTGGTGTGATTTGCAGGGGTGCATAAATGGCATTAAATTATTACATGCTTTTCGAGACACATTATTTTATTTTATTTTATTTGTTTGTTTCAGTTTGCAAAGAAGCACTGGAAGTGTTGACTGTTGCCTTAGTACTCAACCCAAAAGCATTGGATGCTTTAACGAAAGATAAAATGTGGCATACCTTCATCATTGATCTTGTGTTATTGTGTAAAAACAGGTAAAGGTTTACATTGATTCTTGTTACTAATTTTCTAGTATTATTGTTTTAGTAAATAACTGGAAAAAATTGATGGTGTAGTTCACCCCATTAGGGCCCATTGTTCCCAAAATCTAACAATCAATTTCAAAGGGTTGTATTTCTTGTCTCAAATACAGTGGAATCTCGTTAGGAAGTTTTTCAAGGGACTGAAAATTTTGAACATCGTAAGCAGGCAAATGTGCTATCGAAAAATACTCAATTTATACTTATTTTCCACATTTCCATCTGCAAAGCCACCATAATACAGAAAACTAATGTATATGTAAATAGCACGCCAATATTCCAGGGATGAACTAATTTACTCATAAATGTCATTAACTAAAACCACATTACAACAAATAAAAAAAAGCACTTAAAGTAACATATAGAAACAGAAAAAATTAAATAATTTATGCAGGTTTCAAAATTTGATCAATTGTCTATATTATTTTTTCTCCTAATATCAAAATTGCTTTGTCTACCCCAGTTGTATGATAAGGTTCTGTTTCTCTTCATTGGTAATTTGCCTTTCCTTTCTTTTCCAGCATAGAATGTACTTTACTAAAGCGCGCGCGCGCCCACACACACACACGCACACACACACACACACAAAACGGCGCTCCAAGCAGTAGCGTAACAAAATGAGTGCGGGCTCGCCTGCCAAATTTTTATAAAAGTGTATAGCAAACACAAGTAGTGTTAGTACATTAAATAATAACAATATTCCAGGAAATAGGCCCTCATTTACCTCGGCACACCCGCATTTCAGTCATTGAGGGCACGAACGTTTAGCCACTGAGTTGTATCACATCAAAGAAACACGTAACACATGGTAACTCACAAGGAAGGTGGCATGGAAGGAACAGTGAAACAAGTTTCTCTGGCTCTGGAATCAGGCTGAAAGAGAAAGAGAACAACATTGTAGATGGCAGTGGTGCACCGGAAAGTGCATGCCTCTCCCGGAGCAAGTTACCTACAGACTTTGAATGTGCTAAGAAGGAATGTTGATTGTGTACACCAGTCATTTGGTGGAATTGGTTGTGGGACTTGCAAATATGAACGTACTAAGCAGGAAAACAAGTTAACTGTAAACATGCTAACAAGATTCCACTGTATTGCAAATTTTATGTCTTCAATGGATGGAGACATTCTAAATAAAACATACAAGTAATTAGAAATCTCATTTTTTGGATCTAAATTTATGGATTGGTGTAACAAATGCTGTTTTCCATTCTGAAGGAAAGAAGTCTTCTGACAAAGATTTGTCAAAAAGATTTTCTAGTATATATGGAAAAATGAAATAACATTTCTTTAATAATATGGGAAGTATCCCATCTGGACCAGTATTTTTTCTAACATTGATTTCATTAATTTTGCAAAAAAAAATCATTAACTGTAATATCAAGAGATGAAATATTATGAGGAGTTCCATCATCAATATCTACAGTTAATATTGGAAGATCCTGTAAAGGGTTTTTGAAGTAATCAGCATATGTAATTGGACTATGCCGAATCATGGCATGCCAATCATGACTATGACAATCGTTGTGAAATGTTGTGAATTTATTTCAATATTTTGCGGTTAATACTCCAGATTCTTTTTCTGAGTGCCGCTAAAATACATCATGAAGAAATTTTTATTTTTAAAATTTCAGCTTTTATTCAATTAAAAAGATGAAAAAAAACAACTATACAAAGCAAACGCATTCAAAAACTTATTTCTCTAAAACATATGGCAAAAATAGAATTGTTAAAAACAACAAGAAAGTTATTACATTCCCTTGTGTTGTGACAATTAGAGGTTTTTACATGTAGTTTCAAGAATTTACAGAGAATAAAAGACTGGAGAGAAAAATTCAATTGATCTTCAGAACATTACATATTGTCAGCAATGTCCGAAATTGTATATTAGGCATACTAAGAGGAAGAATTATACATCAGAGCAAATATGAAACATTACTGAAATTTCTGTCCGACAGTATACAATTACGACACACTGGCTGGGCAGTGGCCATTCCATGAATTTGACAGGTTTTCAAGTATTGGAATCTAAACAGGATTATTATTCTAGATTGATTCTTGATATGTTGCATGTAAAAACCTGTAAGTGTCTCAACACACAGGTGGAATCGAGTACTTTTACCTGTCTTTATTACTCTGTTGTGCAAAACATAAATCCTGATTTACTAGGCTTAATCTGTGAAAACAAAACAATCTCATATTTTTCTGAGATATTCGGGAGGAAACCTCATCTTATGTTCAGGTATATACTGTATGTATTAAATTTGTCGTATTGATCAACTGAACTCTAAAATTACTATTATATTGATCCAAATATTTTTTTCAAATTCTAAACAGTGTGATTATAGTACTCAAACGTTTCAAACCTTTTGATTTTGTGAGGTCAAAGAATTGTTAGGTGCACACTCTCTCTCTCACTTTGTCAGCCTATGTGGTAGAAGAGCTTCAGGAGAGAAGAGGGAATTGTTGGCATTTTGTGAAAACTCTAATAATGCATATCCTATTTGCATTCTTTTTAATTTAATACACTATAGACAATTGGAGTTGTTGCATGTTGTCTGAATTCTTCCAGGAAGAAATTCAATAAATAAGGAGAGAAGAGAAGACTTTGAGTAGTGTAGTTGATAGACCAATATATAGAGGGACTGCGTTTAAATCCCACATAAGGAATGGATGTTTGCATCAGATTCCTGGTTCAGTAGCCTCTAGCCTCCTGTTACATATCCCCAGCTGTTATCTGTCCATCATCTGTAACACATAACCAGCTTCTCTACTTATAACCGATATGAGCTACTTCTTCAGGACTACTTCAGTTTAACCACGGCAGATAGGGGGTCTTATCCCTGCCAAACAGTACTACAAGAGATGGAAGAGTGCGCCGCAAAGAGAAAGAAAATATTAGAAATATCAGGGGAAAAAATCATAAGTTTTAAATGAATTTATGCACCATTACGGAGAAAACTTTATTTGAGAAAGAAAATATCAGGAGCTGTTTTCAATAAAATCTTGTTCATGTATTCTTTTAAATGCCTGTATTTCACAAGAGCTTAATGTAAAGATCCCCCAGTAATTAAAATATCAATTTCAAACTCATAGGAAATTCATGGGAATGTCAATTTTGAGGGAAAACAATATGGACAGATTGCCAAAAATCGATTTTTCAGTATCAAGGACCCATAAAACGTGGATTTTGACTTCAGTACATATTCAAGAAAGTAATTTACTACTTATAATAGCAAGAAAATTCCACTTTCAGAATCAGATATCCATGAATGGTGATCTATCAAAAAATTGGCATGTTTCCCTGCTGTATTACAACACTTTCTGTATTTTACATAGTGGTATGCGTTTCCTGGTATCAGCTCCAGGACTGGTGTGTCCTCAAAACAGTCTAAAATATCATGTGTTACATCCAGGGAAGGAGAAAATACAAGCCCCGTTCTATTGTATTTAAGATCTCTAAATGAACCAATCAACAAGAAATGTTTCATTCTGAAAAAAATAATTTTAGAAGTACGTATACTATATAGGAAATAGAAGTGTAAAATGTAACGTTAACTAAAGATAATGCTCAGGGTTGTTTATATAAAATCCTATAGCAAATTTTTCAATAAAAATTAATGGGAACTTCAAGTTTGTTTGTTTTTTTAACTTGTGATATATCAGTTCATAACTGCTTTATTTTATGACATTTTTTTCCTTTTCTTCCTCCAGATCGGTGCGCCTGGCAGCAGCAGAACAGTTCCTGTTAATTTCTACTTGGTGTTCAGCCAGTCAGCAGCCATTGCAATTTTGCATCACTTTGCTGTTTACAGTACTAAACAGTACTGTTGTAGATAATGCTCAGAATTCTCATGAATATTTCCAGTTGCTTTGTCGCCTTCTGAACTTTGCTTTTATGTCTAACTGCAACTTACCCACAGCTGAAAATTTACTTAGCAATGAAATTGTTTGGCTGAAAAAAATCAGGGTAAGTCTTCTAGGAATATAAATTATTAATGAGTCCAGTCTACTCTCTTTTTTTTTGGTACTTCTGAGAGTGAATGTGAATGCTTCCTAGCCCTTGTTCACAAATATCAGAATTCTATGAAATAAAAAAAACAACTTTAACTTTTTTCATGTATACCCACAATACAATTCTTGGTACCTTACTTATAATTTATATCATCACTTTTTCTCATGTAATTACTGACTTAATTTTAATTCTTTATGGTATTTTTCTAATGACCACATGATTTTCTTATTAGGAAAATGTTAGGGAAAATGGAGATCCTTTGGTGGATGAAGCAGTGCTTGAAGGTCATTTGGGAATTGCGAGAGAACTGCTATCTTTTATGACTGCTGAGAGGAAATATGAACTGGGATCAGATGAGAAAAAGGGAGTCAATCTTGTAAAGGTAAAAAAGTGATTCATTTAGGTAGTGTATCTACTGTATATCACAATTCAGTGGATGAATTGAGTTAAGTGTGCATTACACAACTACAACACACAATACTACTTGCCTGAACGTTCAATTTTCAAGGTAACTAAAATTAGCTGTGTCTATAGTGTGTATTTTCACAAAACAATCGCATTCCTTGAATCTCAGAATAATACATATCAATCGAAATTTTTAAATTTAATTATTTCATTATGATTATTGTTATTATATTTATATCTAAATTCTCCTGTTGCACTTCTTCTGGCTAGCCAAACAAAGGTGGTAGTGGATTAAAACAGGGAAAACTGCCACAGAGATAAAAAAAACGTTTATGTGAAAAATCATAGTTGAACATTAAAAAAAATTGAGCATTTATATCCAATTTTGACCCTTACAACAAAAATTTTGATCCCAACAAAAAAGACAGAAAAAATAAAGGGAAAATCCTGGCCAGGAATCGAACCTGGGCCTCCTGGTTTACACTCGCTCACACACAAACGCTTGATTAAATACACATATGCTCAATAACATTTACACTTAATCTCATACACTCAATCTCTCACACGCACATATTCGCTTGCATGTATTTACACATTCTCACACACAGGCTCACACACACGTTCTCACTCACTGTCATTCTTTTGTTCAAGTCATATATTCAGGAACTCTCCCTTCATTGATCACAGTTGGAGAAAAATTAATTAATATTTATAAATGATGTAATTCACAAAATGTGTTAAGCAAATGTATTGCTAGAATAATTGTACTAACTGTACATTGATGGTGTATTTCTTTTTGCATAGGAATTGGTGGAAGATTTTATTTTCCCTGCCTCTCGTTTAATGTTACATCTGCAGCGCACTGGAGAGCTTGCAAGTGAGCAAGCGCTTCCTGTCTGTTCTACTCCACTTACTGTCAATGCTGCTTTTGATTTGCTGGTTGGATTGTGTGTTGGCTGTGTTCCAAACATGAAACTGCTTGTACATATGCTTACTGATATGTTCTATTCAGGTGAGAAGAGTTTTTTATTTCAAGCTCTTTCTTTAGAACTGTATGTAAGAGTACATAAATTTTGTTTTAAAAATATTAGTAAATCAGTATTTGACACATAAGTACATTTTACACTACAGAAATCCAATCCATAATTTGCAATGAAATATATAAATTGAAAATTATAGAAACTCTAGTAAAGTTACAACAGACATTTTGTTACTGTATTTCATATTCAAACTATTCGCTAAAAGTTTTGAGTGAGTAAGTTGCCGTGTACAAATTGTAATTATTAATTTCCCAGTGCTATTGGTTAGTAATATGTTCTTGATTTATGTATTGTAGATCTCTAACAATTCTGAAATGTATCTATAGATAATATTTGTAATTGTACTTACTAAATTATTTTCTTCTGAAAACTTATTGTTCTATTTAACCAGAGAGAGATGAGCCTCTAGTCGAGTGGGACTATCTGCCTCCTGTAGGCCCACGTCCCCTAAAAGGTTTTGTTGGATTGAAAAATGCAGGAGCAACTTGTTATATGAATTCTGTGCTGCAACAACTGTATATGGTTGAAAGTATCAGAGTTGGATTATTAGCATCAGAAGGTGCAGCCGTGGACCTCAATGAAGATTTCAGTGGCGAAGAACGTTTAGAAGGCGAGGTAATTGTTTCAGTATTTTCGTATGTTAAGCTATTCATTACTTGATAATGAATGTGGGTATTCACTTATTCTGTGTCCAGAAACTTAAATGCTGGCATATCATCAAGCTACACTGCAATAAAATACTAATTCCTCATTATATTCCCTAATGTTTTCTTGGCATCTGGGAGAGGTGGCTCAGGGCATCAACTGATGTCACTGCAGTGCCTCTGACTGGGAGGTCCTAGGTTTGAGTCATGATTGTGGCTGGTTTTACAGCACAAGCTTGTCAGTAGGTTGAATTCGGTCTGGAGGAGAATTCTATTGTCCGGCTGCTCTGATTGGTAGTTTTCCGTGGTTCCTCAGATCAACACCAGGCAAATGCCGCGGCAGTACCCTAACAAATGGGCCTTGAACACCATGTAATCTTTCTTTCTTCATTCTTGTCCTATCGTCACCCCTTCATTACACTAACATACACTACAATACACACATGCCAGATGACCTGTCGGGAACTTAGTTTGTCCCAGCAGTGGCGGTACCTTGCTGGTGGGAGATACCTGCTTTCTCTTCCTTTCCTATCCTCATCCCTTACTACTTATTCACACTTGCATGTACTATACTACCACATATATCGAGAATTTAAATCTTGTTCTGGCTGGGGTGGTGCCCTGCTGGTGAGAGAAACCTAGACTGTAGGTTGGCACCAGATCTTTCTGCCACCTACCGAGGAAAAAACATGCACCACACATGGGACTAATGACCTTAGTAGTTGACTTGCCCAGAATCACTAACAATCGATCATTCTTGGCATCTTCACAGTTGCCAGTAATTCATATTGAAATTTATCACCAGTATATTGAACCTCAAACAAATGACATTGTAGCAAGTGAAACACAACATGAAAATTAATTAAATTCATGACCAAGATGTTGATTAAGGGGATCTTAGAATTTGCAGTTCTCAATATAATCAAGCAGACATCAAACAATGCAAATTGAAGTTATTGGATCGTAAAGAAATAATGTCATGAACATCAATGTAGTAGAAAGAAACTGTGTTGACAAAGGAGAGAATGTGCATAGCATCAGATAAATTTAACCTACAAAATTTTGAGGGGATACTAAAAAGTCAAAGACAGCATGGTATGGAAGGAAACTCTCAAAGAAATAATGGTAGTAATTGTGATAATGTATTGATAAAAATTAGGATGATTAATATTATAAGAAGGAAAAACCCTAATAACACAGACAAAAAGATTTTTTCATTGATACAATCAATCATTCATTCAAGTTAAAAATGAAAAACATCTAAAGAGACTAGTTACAAATTAGAGGGTTGATGTATACTTAGTTGTCTTGTAGTTGGGAAGATAAATACAGTACTCTGTAACATTTAAAATTGTTCATTGAAACATAATTATGAAATTATCACAAGTGACTACTTGACAATTGTTCAATATAGGAGCTGAAATTAGTTTTTTGAAGGGTTGTCATAGACGACAAAGGTTGACGTTGTACAGGCTATTTTGTCTCACAATGTCACCACTCGCAGTTTCCATGCCAGAAAATTGAATTTATGCTGCATATAAAAGCTCTTTATTTTCATCCATTCACACTGTTCTTATTGTAATTGGGTAAACTCGTATCTTGGTCATCAAATAAGACAGTCATTGCTGGCTCGTCAGTGTGTCACAGGGTGGTGACCGTCGGGTCATAAGCTGAAGCAACTTTCCTGTTTCTGTGTTTTTGCCATTTAAGCCAAATACCATATAGATATGGGGCTCACAGGCCAGAGATGATCCTCTCTGACAGAGCAAGAGAGTGCAAGGCAGGGTGGAGAGTTTACATGAGTGCAAGGCATGAGAGGAGATTTTACAATCCTCCAGCTGAGCCAGAAACATGCTCTGCTGGTGTTGATTACAGAAGGAAATAAAATAGCAGTATTACAGACATAAAAATTAAACAATGCTTATTAAATTTTTTTCTATATATTTGGTTCTACTAAATTTTCTGTTCACTTTATGAATTTTAAGCAAATGGTACATATGAAATAACCATATGTGAACTTTTCAAAATTTCAAGAAGAAAACTAAACCAGCGCCGTCAAACTGAGCACATGCGTGCTTGGAACATGATTGCGCTCTGCCAGGGTACGCAGTGTCCATGGCAAAGGGAACTCCGCGATCAGATTTCTCAGGGATGCATAGTAGTCCATCATGGCAATTTCGCAAGACATTACATATTACATATTACATCTTACAAGTTTGTCTGAGTGGTGTCTTCATTACTTATGCTATGAGCGCAGAGGTGATGCGCTTTGTTTAATATGCAGAAAGTATTTAATAACAAAAATGTGTATTGTTAAAAGGTATTAAGAAATTTTCCATGGAGGCTACAAAAATTTTGTCTGAGATAATCAGCAAAAATGTGGTAACACTTCTAAATAGTACGCTTCATAATTTAAATCTAGGCCCGAGCTTTAGGTTATAAAAAAATTCAGAAATGGTGTTACGTTTCATTGTTATTCTATAATTTTTGAAGTGTGTGTTTTTTGTGTGTGTGTGTATTTTTACCTGAAAGATATGGACATTGTGTTTCTTTAAATGTTTATTTTCAATAATGGTGTCAGTGTTTTTCCAAAATTGTGGTGTATATTACTTATGTTCATTTAATATTTATTTTCTTCAAAATATTAGTTTGAGTTATATTTAATTACTGTTAATATTTCTCACATACTGCATTCTCTAAGTAGAAATGTGTATTAATATTTCCTTAGTGGAATGATCATTGCTTGTATAACTGCAGTTTCTGTTTACTGTCAATTTCCATTAAAATTTAATAAATGTCTCTTTATAATATTCCAACCTGTTTGTTTCGTCCAACTCGCCGCATTTGCACGAAGTTTTCTCACCGCTGATATCCCCAAACCTCTGTGAAGGCCATTCACATGCTCGTTTGTCTAACTATCCTGAACTAAACTATCTGTACCAATGATTATTGAAAGAAAAGTATGAAATGGAGTAATGCGATTGAAGTATGAATAAGGCTAACTACATGTGAAAGGTTGTTCTTGTTTCTAGTTAATAATACTTGATTGTTTTTCTATTCCTGTTCATAAACATAATAGGGTAACATGGACTCCAATGAAAATGATTGTGAAGATAAATGTGGTGTTGAAGAATCAAGAAAAGAATACAACATAGGTATTCTCAAGCAGGTTCAGGCAATTTTTGGTCACCTGGCATACAGTAAACTTCAGTACTATGTACCGCGTGGACTTTGGAAGCATTTCAAGTGAGCAAAACTGTTCTTCTTCAACACTCATTCATTCTTTTATTATTATTATTCATAAAACCAATGAGATTTGTATTCAGATTACAGGGTGAACCTGTGAACCTACGGGAACAGCAAGATGCAGTAGAGTTTTTCATGAGCCTTGTGGAAAGCATTGATGAGGCACTAAAGGCCTTGAGTCAAGAGCAGATAATGAGCAAGATTTTGGGTGGCTCCTATTCAGACCAAAAAATATGTAAAGGCTGTCCACACAGGTAAGCAAATAAATAATTTACTGTATATACCTGAATGTAAGAAGATTTTTTCCAAACTTTCTCTCTCAGAAAATACGAGATCATCTTATATATGAGCCCAGTCAGGGTTTCCTTTTATATCCTTTTCTTGACAAAAACATGTTGATTTAACAATAAGCTGCGAAGACAGTAAAAGTATCATGTGTATCTGTAACATGTAAATATATTTACGGTCGTATTCTCAGCATCCACTGCAAATTTGCCAGGCAACTCAGACATACTTTTGAATGGGCCGGAAAAGAGATTGTCTCTAATGAATGACATTGTATCATGTGAAAATGAATAAAAATCATTGCTGAGATTTCGTTACAAGATGCACATTACAGGAACGATGAGGCTACTCTGATGCCGGGTGAGTGCAGATCTGCGTTTTGCAAGAGACAGAAATGAATAAAATTCATTGATAGACCATACATTCTACATCCAAACATCTAAAAGGATGATAAAGAATGATTTTCTTAGCAACAACTTCCTGAACTTGGAAACTTTGCCGCAATCTTCCACATTAACCATGACACAAAGTGTGGTGAAGTAAGAGTTTGAAGTTATTTTTATTTTATTCACAAAACAGTAAAACAGTCATACAAGCATTAAACAGTGCTGACTTTCAAGTATTTTCTGTTAAAGAATGTGGAAGAAGGGTGGTCTTAGGTGACATCAGATGAAAGAAAGAAAGAAAGAAAGAACAAACTCAAATTTAATGCATAAAACTTTTAGAGGGGTCTAAAATCTCTGGGACATTCTAATGTGGAAGGAGAACCCAAAAGAAAGAAATAATTCATGACACGGGTGACACACAATATAGATAACGAAGGTAGTGACAAAAAACAAATATTTGTTGATTTTAAGGAACAATAAAATAGAGATGACTCATATAATATATCATAACTTCTCATCAATGCAATTTTTAAATCAATTCGACACTTTGCAATTTTGACTAAATGGTAAGAATTAGTTAAAAATCTAAAACTGTTCAGGAAGCCTCTTCAAAATTAAGGGAGTTGACTTATATTTGGGTTAATATGATACATAACGGAAATAGTTTTCTCAACTGCAAGGAAAGTTAGGTGTTTTGTTGAGACACCTGAAAAGAACAAGATAGAATAAAATTAGCATCAGATGTAAGCATAATGTGTAATGTTAATTTTGATTTTACTGGGGAATTTATTGTTTACTTGATGCATGAATCCCCACATTGCTAATTTTCCTGAGGCCATCATTTTCTATATTCATTGATTATATCAGCCATTAATGTAATGCATTTTCCTCTCCCTTAATTACATTCCTTAAATCATGTTTCCATTATTTAATCACTTCCATTATTCAGAAAATTGCAGTTCTGAGTGAAGCTAGTGATTACTCTGCAGAGTGGCCTAATGTCTTAATGTTTGTGCCCAGTACTTTCATTACCTCTCTTTTTTCTTATGTTAGTAGTAATAATAATAAGAATAATAATAAAATGTTCAAATAAAAATAATACATAACTATAATAATTATTTATTTTTGTTGTTGTTGTTATTATTATTATTATTATTATTATTATTATTATTATTATTGAATTATTATGTTCATCAGTGGAGTATTAGTGTTCCTGATTGAACAGTCAGTATATGTGTGTGCCGTGTACAATTTAGGCACTAGTGTTGTTCAGATGAACAAACAGATGTTTTGAAAAATACATTTTTTCATTATCTAAATGCAGAAAAAATGATTATTTCTACACTACATATCAAAGTAAGTAATTTACTATGTGTAAAAAAAGAAAAAATCCACTTTTGTGGTATCAGTGACCCACACAGCTTGTATTTCCCAATGAAAATTTGCACTTTCCCTGCAGAATTGCTAAATGTTGTCTTTCTGAGAAATAGGTGCAAGAAAGTTAGATGTAGAATGGCAGTTCTGGAACATTTAAAGTTTTGCCTCTCCAGGTAAATAAAAAAGGTGATCACAACCCAGAAAGAAGAAATGTGAAAGAAATCCATTGGCTCTAATTTTTTGAGTGATATGGGTTCATAATTCATGGAATTCTAAATGTCTGTGCTTATAAACCTCCTCAGTTACAGTTTTATTAAACCTGTGAAGGTTAAATTTGTTCAGATAAGCATGAGGCACTGTTTGCCTGGACTAGTGAAACTGGGTCAGTTAATCATGAAATATGTAAACTGAAGGAGAATGAATAATATAAATTAAATTGAATGAAAAGAATCAAAATGTGTATGGTCCCTTAAAGGCAATTATCTTGAACATTTGACACAAGAACATGTTAAAATATGTACGGTAAAACTTCATTTACAAGTTTTTTAGGGGACTGGAGGAAAAAAATGTGTGAGAAGAACGCTTAACGAAAAATGAAAATATAGGTGCAAAATAAAAACACCATATTTTGATGTTACTGTCTTATTAGAAAATATTAAGTATATTATGTTAATACTTAACGTTTTCAAGAAAGAAAGTTTTGACTTTTGAAAAGAGTTTATCTTGGACCATTTGTTAAGTAAAGTATAAATTTCTCTTTCAAAATGACATCAGTCCCGTAATTGCCCATATTACTTGATTGCTATGTGTTTTGTACAAATAGGCCAAATATTTACGTTTCAAAGTTGACAAACATTAAGCAAAGCCTTACTGGGTGACATTTTGCAAATCCTTACCGAGTGATACATGAAAATCATGCAATGCCTTAGGGACACTAGCGAGCACTAGCATTATTATCCTTCTACCCTGTAGTTTGGTGGGCCGGCAGTTCCCCTCATGTTCCAATGGAAGGCTGATAGACTTTGCTTACCAACAAAACTAAACAACCTAAACACCAAATCAAACACAGATTCTTTGGGTTCCTCTAGCATGATGTATTTTTTAATAGTGGAAATTTGGCTGGGACTTACAGACAACTCATACATGTAAAAAACATAAATGGAGTTTTACTGTATGTCTTTTTCTTCCTTTATTTTTGTTCATTGAATAGCTTTAACTTGCTTGCAACTTTTCGTACCAATTGCATGCTATTGAAAACAGCTGTCATTGTAAGGAAAATTCCTGGAAAAACATTATTTAAGGAAATGAGTGATACGAAATGGTTTTTACAAAACAATTTTTTTAACTATAATTACTAGTAAATTTTCAAGACCAGAAATTCTTACATTTTTATATTCAGGTATTCCAAAGAGGAACCATACAGCGTCATCAGTGTGGATATTCGAAACCACAGTACTTTGCTGGATTCCTTAGAGCAGTATGTGAAAGGAGAATTGCTGGAGGGAGCTGATGCTTATCACTGCGAAAAGTGCAACAAGAAGGTACATCATATTTAAAACATGAATTTACTTGTATTCAGACGATTTCTTCAATATTTCACAGTATATTTGATAAAAGTTGTCAGATTAATGGAATTTCAATCTAAATTGTGGCATTTGGAAACAGAAATTTTTCAACATTTTTTATTATGCTCCTTCCTTTCAGTAAGAAATGAGATTGTTTTGTTTCCTTTTATTTTATTTTTTTTTTAATGCACAGTTCCAAAAAAAACACGCACGTCACGCACCCAAGTTGTGCCACTGTTCAATATTCAATTATTTTTTCCATATTGAACAAATTATATACTAATTACTTATTCATTAATTGATATACTATTCAACTAATTATTTACAATATGTACTTCTTTCAGGTTGTCACTGTGAAGAGATTGTGTGTTAAGAAACTACCTCCTATCCTAGCAATCCAGCTGAAAAGGTTCGAGTATGATTTTGAACGAGTGTGTGCCATAAAATTTAATGATTATTTCGAATTTCCACGGGATCTAGACATGGAGCCTTATACAGGTTATATACTTTCTACATTCATAAAATGAGCATGTGAATAAATGGAAAAAACTGTTTTCATTGCACATTTTTCTTTTCAGTGTCTGGACTTGCAAAGTTAGAAGGAGAAATGATAGACTGTGATTATGAAGAACTTTCAAAGGATATATGTACTAAGTACAGATTGACTGGTATTGTTGTACACAGTGGTCAAGCTAGTGGTGGCCACTATTATTCTTATATTCTTCATAGGCAAGTTTTTCTTACCTGTGTGTTTGAGATTTTTTTCGTATTCTCAAATCAATGCCAATAAAAAAATCAAATTGCCCTCAAATCATTGCCAATTTCCTAAAATACTTCTTATGCTGAATAATATTCAAGAGACTGTGGTAATATTAAAACCCTTGCAACCCATAGATATTAAAATATAATATCAATAAATAGGAGATCAAAACCCCATTCTATTTAGAAACACAAGTTATGAACCATCAGACTGTTATGTTAGAATCTGCCATCTTGAAAAGTCTGCACGAGAAAACTAAATGCTAAGATACAACAGTAGTACTATTTGTACTGACTAGTTTTATTACTTAAACTATATTTAAGGGGTATTTAATATTCACTAATCATAACTAGTGATGTGATATTTTAAACTTATTGGTATAATTCCTTAGCACTAGTTACATCAAAACTAAAATCTACATCTGAAAACATTCATCAGTAATGTTAAGGCAATAAAATGCAAAATATTACCCAGCCAGTTCATTCACAATGAAAATGTTAATACAGAACTAGCATTATAATACTACATTAGTATCTACTTGTTGGACTGGGAGATGCCACATCCTAGGCACAGACACCAATTGGAGCATTTGTGCTTAGGACACAGTGTCTTGCAGATAGCCAAAATGGTACTTGAACAAGGGCTTTTCAGATGCTATGTAGTTTTCCAATGTCTCATTTGTGAGGATTGTAATGGTAAACATGAAGAAAAGCCACTTATTGATCATGATAGAAGGAATTTAAAATGTTAAGAATCCAGCTTTGTATGTATGTTGTAAATATCAAAGGAGGGTTCAAGAAGGGTTTTTTCAGGTTTTCAAGAAATTGACACACACCCAATGCTTAAGTAGTATACTGGGCAGTGTCAACATACACAGTAAAAAGAAAGTTAAGAGCCTGTTTTGAGATGTTGTTCAATCATTTTTTGGGGGGAAGAACACTTATTTTAACTTAAATAGTATGTATGTGATCATTGAAAGTTTGGTTGCAAGGCAAGATTTAAATTTCTTATATTCAAGAATCTCCTTCATGTGCAGAAACTATAGCTTATTTACTCAAAGCGTACAAAAATAAAGTTTTTACAAAACACAGCTCTAATCACTACCACATGTTCACAGATGATGTCACATTCCAACATGTTATGTTCTCTTTTCATTTTTATTGCAGGCATAATGATGGTACATGCAAATGGTACAAATTTGATGACGGTGAAGTGAGTGAATGTAAAATGGATGATGAAGAGGAGATGAAAACCCAGTGTTTTGGAGGGGATTATATGGGTGAAGTCTTTGACCATATGCTGAAACGAATGAGTTACCGACGACAAAAGAGATGGTGGAATGCTTATATGCTATTCTACACCCGATTAGATGTCGAAGAAAATGCACTCATGAAGAGCCTCAATGAGTTGACTTTATGTACGTTTCAAAACATTTAACATGCATGCTGGTGAACTTTGTAATTTATCTCTGACTTTGTATTGTCTCAGATATTCTTTTCATTGTTGCACATATAAGAACTTGTGCTGTAAATAGTGTTCTTCTAACCTCCATGTACCTAATAATTGCTTAATTTACACCTTTTTCATTTCTTTATAAAACAAATAATGTCAATTATGAATAATGTTGGTGATGATTCAAGCTACACCAGTTTTACTGTGTTTTCTATAAATACTTCAAATAAATAAATTCGCCATTACATAGATAATGCAATTACCTCAAAAGTCAGCTTTTCCTCCGATACTATGTTGGGTCGCGATTTCAAACATTTTCAAAATGCACACTGATTACATCAGAAAAGTGGTTACAGTTAATTTCCGTAATTAAAAAACATGTAAAATGTTCCCAAGAATTTATTTCAGCAAATATCTAAACATTCATTCATTGTAGAGTTTAATGTCATGTGCTTTAATAATGTTGTTGTGCATGATTATTTGAACAAGAACAATAGCTGTGTAGCAAAATACTCAATTATGAGGTTAATAATATTACTGAGAAGATGATTTCTGCTACTGTAACGTATTTGAATATTGCTTATAGATTATGAGATCATTCCATATTTTAATTCTGTCTTTTTCTTATTTATTCTTTTATTTTTAATTACTGTAATGTGTTTGAATTTTTGACTGTGTTTAAGAAAAAACATGTATTATTAATGAGAATTTTGAAATGATACTTTCATTTAAGTTTTGTCTTCATTATTTACTATTAATTCCTTAATAGTGATAATTGTTAGAAAATCTTCTTGTTCCAGCTGATACCAAATTGGGAATCATGAAAATGCCACCTGCTATTGAACGGAGCGTTAGAAAACAGAATATTAAATTTATGCATAATAGAAATCAATTTTCGGCCGAATATTTTCAATTTATTCGCAAGTTGGTATCTTGCAATACTCCTCCAGTTAACCGACAACACAACCAAGAGAAACTGGTGAGTACAGTTGTATTCTCCTTGCTTATTATAAAAAAAGGTTAGGCAGCATCAAACTGACCTAAAATAAATTCTGACATAGATGAATTTGATGTTTGTCTTTAATTTATGTGAAAAATCCCTTTACTTTCCAGAGGAGTCATGAATTTGCAAACATATGAGTCATTCCACTTCAAATCACACACTCGCAAAACATCCATACTTTGTAGCGACTTTTTTATGAGATCAATAGTTGAGAATAGGTGACATGTATTTCTTCTTTTTTTATTCTAATTCCACTCCAGGGCCTTGCAACTCTCCATCAAAAACTCGAGGGTGCTACTCTAGGAGGCACTAGTGTTGCCGGGTACAGCTGCAGGTTAGGCTTGCCAACATCCACACAAAAATTGGCTAATTTGTGAGCAATAAGAAAAATGTCTTTTAAATGTTCATTTATTTATAATATACACATATAAGAAAGCATGAACATCAGCACTATCTTCTGTAATATTATGGGACTGCTTGCGACGCATGATCTCACACAGCAGCCACGCATGTATTAAGTGTCGTTGGCAGCAGTTCATGTTTAAGTTCCTGTAAGAAGGTGCTGCAGCAGAGCGCACCATCGTAATGGTTTCCACCACATTATATCGGAGTTATAAGGCCCTGTTCAACTCCTTGAAATCTTACTACCTTTATTTTTTTTTCCTTGAAAAAACTTGTATGCACTAGTATATAAACAATTTTGGGCAATAGAATTTCCTTCAGAAAAATACAATTACACCTAAATTAAACTTAAAAAGATGTACTTTCATGTGATGTAAATGTAATTTTTGTAAACATATTATTGAAATGTTGAAAATAATTTAATTTTTAAAACTTAAATTTTCATATGTCTGATATTGCAAAGTAGAGTCCAAAATAAGAATAATAATTATTAATAATAATAATAATAATAATAATAATAATAATAATATAATAATAAAAATAAAATGTCAGGTCAGACAAACATAAAACACCTGTTATACTTGTGTTCAGTCTTAGTTGTTTATGGACCTAAGAGTAGAATTTGTGTTACAAGACTGCTATGGTCTACCTGAAAAAATATCAACTTTCTTTCATAGATATATTGAGTCAGTTATGTAAACAGAGATATCTAAGAACAAAGTGTGTTGTTCTGTGAAGTTAGTAACCACAGATAGTCTTACAATATTACTAATATTATTGTAATTTCCATTATCTTAATATGAAATCCTATACTTGTAGAAGTAGTGTACATTTACATTGTTACAACCAGCATTCTTGAGAAGTTGAAAATGGACTGTTTACAATGAAGCAAAAAAAAAAAATCATAGGTATAGGAAAAACAGCTTTTTAAAATTTCTTCTCATGACAAGTCAAGTGAAGTTTTTTCAAGAGAGTGAGAACCGTCCAAACTTGTTAATGCCAGAAATATATTGAACTGTGACAATGATAAATTAAGTTTTCTGCTAGATCTGGTAGGGCATTTTCACTATGGTGCCCCTTTGGTATAAGGTAATTTTTCAAAAGTTAATTTTTTTCTGCTGCCACTTTACATTCCAGTTTCATTTGACAGGAAAATGATCTGTGCAAAATTTCAGCCCAGTCAGACAATTTCTAGGTGAACCCCAAACACCTTAAAGGTTGAACTTAATTCACACAATAAATAATTACATTAAAGAGTAGTAAACTATTATCCACTAAGACCATTTTCTTTTTTCTCCAATTTTTGTGACTCATTCCGGCAACCCCAGTAATTGATTAAAAATATTCTCAATCAGATTACTCAAGAGTTCATTCAATAATTTCTTAAATAACATGAAAAATTGAAGGAATTAGCTTTTTATTAATGCACAGGCCTATAAGAGAAATGCACAGTCATTTCTGTAAAATCAAAACAATTGAATAAACGAACATAGGACATTATTTTTTCGTAAGAGATGATGCTTCCAGAATAACTTTTTTCCTTACCCTCCATTGGGACACAGTCAAAGAAGACTAGGTCCACTTGGAAACTATTCGGCAGGGTTTGTTTAAAATTTTTTTTACAGCAACTTCACTGATTTCTTGATAAATGTCCTGATAATTTATCAGTTGATTCATGAATAGGAAATCATGAGCTTGTGCCTTTTATTCATGCTTCTGATGACAGAAACCACACTGAGATGTACTTTTAAAGGAAGAAAAATATATATTCTTATGAAAAACTTCTTCTTTTTAGTAATCAACTTTGAAATGCATACATTTTTAATGCAATAAAGCCTTTTCCATCCTTCTCTCATGAATTACAGCTCCTGTCTCTTAGAAATGATCCCTGTTCTTTGGACTGTCGCTAAGAAAGATCTTTGTTAACTCCAGCATTCCGTGCTTGGTTCTGTGCACAAAGTTTGTGTTCAAGAAATCCAAGAATTGGAGAACAAACTTCATCAGGAACTTCATTGCTTCCAGTAATGTAAACTTTCTTGACTAGGTGTGGTCTAGATTTAGGTCTTTTCAAAAGCTCCATGTCTAGACCAGAAGTTGCACCCATCAGGGAGTTAAAACACCTCTGCAAAAATTAACTCAACAATGCAAATGTAATGACAACATTGTAGGTTCAACAAAATGATTACACAACTTTACTAGATTTGTGCAGGCATTATTTACTCAAACTGTTGCTTCCTCTCATCTTAGAGTAAAGAGCCTGAATTTTTTTATTTTTTTTTTTTCCCTTCAGTTATATCTCACTTCTGTACTGCTTGGTAAACAGACATGGCTTGACCTTTTCCTGAAGATTTTAAGATTTCATGGACTCCACCAATTGCTTCTTTCCTTGAAAATTTACTATTACTGTCAACCTAACAACACCTTTGAGTGTCAAGAGTAACTTTTCATCCTATTGGCGCACTAAAGGCAGTCTTTTAGAGTAAATTCGTATTGAAATTCCATGTCTTTCTCTTCTCTAATTTTTTTAAGGCATTGAATAGAAGTGTGTTTTATTATATTATATCAGCCCAACAGAGGTTTTCATTTTCATGCTTAAAAGTTTATGCAGCAGCTGTTAATCTTTAACTACCAGTAATTTTGCATCTATCAACAACTTCAGAATGAATGTTTGAAGTCCGTCAGGAGTGCAGAAAGGATGGTGCTATTCAGCGCAACAGAGTAGTTGAAGTGGACAGGTGAATGGAACTCTAATGGCGAAAACAATGATGTATAGTAAAGCATTGTCTTGTGATGCATTTATGCATTTTTCAAACATTAAATTGTAATAAAAGCAATAATGGAATTACGTAGAGCATTGTATTGTGTTGCATTAACTACTTGATCTACTAAGGATCTTGAACAGGTTTCACTGTATCATTCTAAATTATTTTTACAATTAGTATCTCTTTAGCATTATAATTGACATACTAAACTTGAAGTTATAAAATGAGTTAATCTAAATGGTAGTACAGCTAATAATATAATAAAAATTTTAAAAAATGCAGAAGAAATTGTATACATCAAAAATTCAAAACTTCATTATCAAAAGTGGTCACTTTAGAGTTGTCTAATGGACCTCAAATTTTGCTTGGATTGTTTTTTTATAGATTTGAACAGAATGGAAGGGGGAGCTCAACTTTTGAAAAGTTGAAAAATGAGGGCTATGCTAATTTATCGCCTGATAATAAAGAAATTGTCCAGTTAGAAATACTTCTGTTTCTTCTGCTGTCTTCACCCGTCATTTGCTGTCTTCTGCTCTTCTCAGAAGTAGAATTTGACAAGAATGCGACAAAACTAAAATTTGAGTAGTTTTCATTGTCTGTTGTGATTTTTTTAGAAAATAATTTTTTTACATGAAGATGTAATTTACAGACTGGTAAATTAATGTCTTAGTTACCTGACATCCTTTAATGTTATACTTCAGAGATAACAAAGAATTTTTAACTTCAAAAAATATTTCTTTTTATGAATGCCTGAAACATGACTTGAATCCTTTTCAGTGTAAACTCATTACACTTCTCACATAAGATTATGACAGTGTTAATAGATATATATTTTACAGATGGGGTCAGCGTCTATTATTATAAAAGAATGTTAGTTTATGCTCTCATCAGAATGTCTTCAGTGTGAGTGCTAAATGCATTTCTTTGCTTTGCAATGTGCTAAGGAAGGGACCTCATGACAATGTGGGGGGGGGACAACAAAAATATTATCAACAAATGCCAGCTTTCAATCCTATCAAGGATTTTTTTCCCAATAGAAGGCAAAAAAATACAAGTTTCATTTCTTTATAAAACAGGCAATAAATGTTATATTTCTTCAAATTTTTAAACTGTTGGGTTACAGTTTTTTTTAATGGGTCCAAAAATGCTTTTAAAAAATATTTATACATTCATCAAATATAAGAGCATCTTTTATTCTGTAATGTTGCAAAATATTAAATTTCTGTATCAAGTACAACACAAGTAGAAAAAGGATTACTTTTACCAATGCAAACATTCTTTTTTTTAAATTTTGATAATTAATATTTGATCCAAAAATAATCTTTGGAAAAGGAATAACATGTGTTTCATGTCTTTGTTTATACTTTTGCTGAAAAAAAGTATAAAAATCCGGGACATCAAGTTCAAATTTTCCTTAAAAGTGCTATTTGAAGTGGAATGACTCCTATGTGACTTTAGTTAGTGTAACAGTCAGCAAGTTAAGCTGTTGTTACAGTAATAGTGAGTTGAAGCTCATTGTATATTAAAGGATTTTTGTACGCAAAAAATTCTTAAATCAACTATTTCCTTCAGAAACGAAGTAAAGCAGTACAACCCTGTATTGTAATTTACAGCATGTAAAAGAATCTCGTGACTAAAAGACATCTCTTTATTCGAAATTTGAATAGAACTTCCCCACTCAAAGTAATACCTGAATTCTTAACCAGATTTACAGGCCAGTGCCCTGTTACACTGTATTTGGTATTAAGAAACAATCCTAACATCAATCAATGACTAAAAGAAAAATCTCCCAGGAACAGACCTGTAGTCCAATTTTTTAACTTTAGTTTTACCTCTGTGCCAGTAAGGGTTTTTTGCTATTCAAAAATGTCTTTGATAAACTGCCAGTATGCAGCCATTTTCATCCCCCTGCCTCCATTCTTCTCATCTTGAACATTCATTCCTGCCTGTTACTATGGCCGTGAAGAGTATTTTTTGACCCCAACTTTGATTTTGATGGGTTGTGACCTAGATATTCAAATTGCAAGGGGGGAAAAGAAAAATATTAATTAAGTTACATGAACAGAGGTATGTTGATAAATCCTTTTTAACCGTTTAAAGCAAAGGCACAATGCTCATAAAGTATTTCTGAACCTCTTAAAAAATAGCTTTTCTTGCTACTTTACCTCTCACTTTATTCTTAGACACTTCTTCCCATTCAATCTCCTTTTGGCATCAAACATATATAGAGTAAATGGAATGAAATACAGGGAATCCTGTGATTTTTTGTACATCCAGGAAGCTTCTAGAGGGTAGGTGAAAAACATCTAGGTGGATATTTGAAGAAGAAATGGACCTTTTCAACTTTAAAGTAAAAGTATACTCCCAAGTTTCTGTTTAGTGGGAAATTGAAACCTGATTCTCTCTCTCTCTCTCCCCCCCCAAAAAAATATTACTGCGATTTGGAGCAGGCATCCACTTTCAGCTGGAAAATCAGACATCAGAAAATTCAAATCATGGAGGTCCATTGAAAGCATTGAAATGTTTAATGGTTCTTAATTTCTGAACTCTAGAGTTATATTCATTCTTAGATATTTGAATTACACTGTTTCAAATTAAGAAAACATTGTTTTGTAAACATTCATTCACACAGAAAGTACTGTGATATTCTACTACCATTTCACAGAAGCACTTACTTGGTTTAGTGTGTTGTTTTGGGTTTTAAACCTGCTTCTTCCAGATTCTTGTCCCGTCTTTATTTCATGTATTTAGGAAATGATATGGAGAGAAAAACGCTGAGAGGTTAAAATATCTGTTGCAGGGACCTGAAGGAGAAGAGCTTGCCATGTTGAGTGTTCAGTTGGCATCTAGATTTCTCTTTCACACTGGATTTCATACCAAAAAGACATTACGTGGAACTGCAACTGAGTGGTATGATGTTCTGTGTCATCATTTACGATCATCTAAAGCAGTTCGATCATGGTTTGCCCACAATGTACTTTTCCGGCACCCACACAGGTAAATATTTTTCTTCCTCTCTATTTGACTTTATTCAAGATCATTACATACTTGCACACTGATGACTCATAATACAAGTATTACAACTAGTGATCTGTGTACTAACTGGATGACGAACTCCACCAAGTAGGCTGTGCCTTCGGCCCAGCTTGGAATGTCGTAGTGCAGATGGGCAAGACACTAGTACAACAATATGTACTTTACAAAGATCAGAACACTTATTGCAAGAGTGTTAACATTTTCTGACATAATTCTACAATTATCTTAACTTGTGACCAAGGAAGTTAAATACTTCTAACAAATAGAATCTTCATGCAGCAAACAATTTTAAGGGCTTTCTAAACTTATTAAAATAGGTGCATGCAAGATGTGTGTTTTTAAAGCATTACTCTTCTTGTCAATTGCAATGCTGTTTCCTTGTATGGGGTAAGGAATTTACCTGCTTAGAAATATGAAGTGAAATCTGCTGGAGAAATGAAAAGTTTCATAGACAATTGTCAATTTAATATATCATACAAGTCATATGTGACGAATCAATTTACAAAACAATTTTATTGAGATGCTGTCTAACACTTGTATGGCCCCCATGAATTTGTTTGAGAGACTCTTGTGCCTTGCTTTGAGGTGGAATGTTACATGCTTGCAATTGTTTTCATTACTTGTGTTTCATGAAGGTCTTTTTAGAAACCAAATTCATTATGAAAATCATGGGGCACTTGTGGTAAGAGCAACTTACAAAACACTCAAAACAGGAAAGACATTTTCTCTAAAATATTCTTCTGTTTCATTCCACCTCTCACCATGAGTAATTTAAAATATTTTTTTCTGCCTGCTCTACTACTCTAAAAACAAATGTCTGATGTTTAAAGAAAACTATTGACTTCTCACAAGAACTCATTCACACGTAAATTTTTGCCCAACTACAAAATGACGACACCCAGTTAGAATACCTGGTTAGTACACAGATCACTGGTTACAACTTCCATGGCATGAGAATTTCTTTTGCATTTGGAACAAAGAGAGTTTCATGCAATTCACAGACAATTTCAAGTGGGCAGTACCACTAGTTCACAGTTAGTTGTGTTTATGGCATCAAACTGAGGAACAAGACCAATCTAAATAATTTTAACAGATGTAAGATATGACAGAAATCATCTTCGTGCCAGCATACATGGAAGAGTTTCTCTTGTTTACTGTTCTTATATTGCTGTAATTAGCATGATTCAGAAGCGGAGAAATCTCTCTTTCAGTAAAAGCTACTCCTGTATTTCAGCAACCTTTTCAAGTATTTTGGATAGAAATAGTAATAAGGTTATTAGTCTCAAATCAGACAATGATTGTGGATTGACAACCTTAGCCAGAGTCTTAGCCAAGCTATGCTTCCAAGAAAGTGGAAATATAGACATTTCTAATGATATATTTATAATATGTATGGTATGGGTACAGCAAAATGGCAGGCACAAAAGAAGTGTTCATATTCCAGCAGATCCATTCATTCCAGTATAATTATTGTTCGAATAATATTTCTGTCTATTTGACAGCTAGCGTCTGACAGAGAAGAGGGGGTTCTGTTATGCAATCAGAGGCTTCAAATTGTGATGTCATTGCAGAGTTGCCAATGCTTCTTGAAAATAAAATCTTGCGTGAAGCTACTGAAAATTGAAGAGTGCAATTACTGTATTGCGCTTTCCTTTTAAAAACACAACTTGCTGTATTTACTTTTCATCTGCTTTGCACAATTTGTGCAAAAATGTTTCATTATTTCTTTCATTGGTGGCATTAGTATAAGGGACCACAGTAAAATACTTTAAGAAATAAACGCATGTCATTAATACCATTTATTTACTTTATTCTACTGTTAATACAATGAGTAGGACGTGCATATCTAAATCCTGAGCTGATATAAGAAAGACCCCACAACCACGTGTCTGCCTCCAGAGTAAGTGACAACATCGCTCTACCCCACCCCAAGCTGTGAAGTAAACAGAAATATTATTTGAACAATACTGTCACTGTAATGGATGAAATATTAGTAGATGAAGAATTTAGCAACCCTTACTTACTGAGTCTTAAGCCCTTACAGCCAATGTTTAAACCTATTGAAAATGCATAGTCTAGCCTCAAGACTGCTGTTAAACAAGATCTGAGTACAAAATTGCCACAAATTTTAGCTGATGGAGACAGGGCAAATGTATCACAAACAGAGTTTTGTCTTCGTCAGCTAGAAAATACTATAAATCAATATATTTAAGGGTTAAGGGACAAAATATTCATTTATTTAAATAAATGGCAACAGAAGACATATAACTGCAATCAAGATATTTCACAAGTTTGAATTAATTTACATTGAAGTTAGTGTTAATGATTTATAATCTAAAATAACAGAGGCGAGAATAAAGTCTTTTAAATTTGGAGACGGTGCTGGTCGAGATGAACTCTTGTGGAAGGCTATTTTGTAATTTACTGTGTAGTTTGAGAGGATTCTTTTGTAGTTGGCTTGTTTGAAACCAACCTTCTTTAGCTTCATGTTGTGTCCTCTAAGGTTGCGGGCAGTGGTGTATATGTGAAAGTGTAACAATTCCAGAGCATTGTAAAGGTCATGAAGCATTTTGTATGTTTAGTCTCTCCTAAATAATAAAGATGATATATCTAATTCACATAGTCAACAGAGAGAGGATTTAAAATATCATAATTTCTTCTTGGAAGGGTCAGGATTTCCCAAATGCTATAGGGCCATATTCCAGTATTAAGTTCAGTCATTTAAGTGGTGAACAATCCAGAGCTGAGTATTTAGAAAAGAGAGAAAATATCTACAAACACGAAAGTGGAAACAGCATAAAACGAAACATAGCAAACTATTTTGTAAACTAAGGTACAATAAAGTTGTATCATCATACCATATTAGATGTTTTGAACAGCCAAAATATAAGGAATTATTTATAAAATTGCATATTTTCAAGATGGTTAGCAAGCAATTTTTACATTCTGGACCACTTGAAATGGATTGATGCCATCGGTAAAAGCATATGTAGTGAACAAGCTGGTTTCTAAAGATTCCTTGCTGAGGTATTGAAAAGCATTGCCTACCAAAAAAGTGCTTTGTTAGCTTTATTGATTATATAGTTGGGCTTTCCATTTTAGGTCATCTTTATTATAATAATCCCCAGATCTGTGACATGATGGGTGGTGGACTGATGATATGCCCATTAATGTTCGTACCTCTGGCGTCATCGGATTATTTTGAACGCTATGTGTAGTATTGTACATTTGATTTCATTAAGTGGAGCCATGTTCTCCGCCGCAGTTGAAAGACATTATCGACGTTTAATTTGTAAGTGTATGGGCGTTTTCCAAGTGAATTGGCAATAGATTTTTGGTATCGTCAGCATTCATGGAGAAATAATAATAAAATAATATAAATAATAATAATAATATAATAATAATAATAATAATAATAATAAATACTAATACTACATAATAATGACTATAATAACTTTCAAGTAATTTCTTTTTAATTTTATTTAATTTTCATAATATATGAACAGGCAGATAAACCTGATAACGTTCATCGATAAAACATTATATTATGTTTAAATTA